AATTTGCATATGCGATTTCCAGGATGAAGCATAAATTTCAAGTAAGTATATTTGAGACAAAAAACTGAGTATCATCAACGCAGATTTTTAGCACACAAATCCTGATTATGCACCTATGCCCTGCCGTTTCCTTCCAGCTATGGTATACAACTTACAGCTTGGACCTCCAATAATGCCATGTCTGGAGCAGATGTTACATCGTATCAGAACCAAACACTGATAGCTGAAGCGTACAGCTACAGAACGTATGCACACCATCTGAAATAATGTCACCTTTCAAGATATACGTAGTACCCCTGCCGTTAATGTGGAACGTGAGATCTATTAACTGTGTAGCCTGAGCGTCAGTAATTATTGATGTTCAAGGTTACGTAGAAATCCACTGACACTGACGAAATGATTGGTGAATCCTGATGGTCCGGACATCGTTGGTTGTCAGAATACTACTGTTGTGTCACAGTGTCAGTTCGTAGGTCAGTTAAGTCTCGTGACCGAGGTACCAGACAATGTTAACATAAAAGGAAAGAGGAAATGGAAGAAAGAGGAGAGAGCAAATATGAAGAAGACAATCTTTTAGGGATAGGAATCGATTAGGCATTGATGACAGAGTCAATCGACAGATTTTGATATGGTTCAAAAAGATTTGATTTGTACCAAATGCTCTGATTTCCACTGTTCTAAATTCAAGAATTGATTTTGATTCAGTGCGAGCCACGGCCTTTTGTGTTTACGACCTTGTTCGACTATGTACTTCACTATTCCTGCAACAGAGAGTAGCTACGAGTCTCCCCTCGGCTGTAGTCGCTGCGGTTGTTGTTTGATGTAGTCCCTAAGGCAAGGGATATCGAAGTCTATGAGACAAACCATAGGGCGTCGGTAACTGTGCGTATCGTCCTGCTTTGCAGAGCCTGCAGAATTAGCGTGTACGTTTTGGAAATTTAACACCAAGACGTAAAGGCGTCATTTATATACTAAGTGACATATAAATCCGAACACCCAGTTTAAATGGTTTTATTTTAATAAAAGTTGGTGAATGTATTTATCTTACAGTAAATAACAAGTGAAAAAATTTTCAGCCCTATCAGTTGGACATTCCGGTTTTTATACTGATTTTTTTTAATTCGCTAACGCTCTAAAAATGAATATTTCAGCCCCAGTAAAGAATCAACGTTGGCGGATTTTGGTTCTTGACATCCTTTACGATCGGTTACGATGCCTAGAGTACGGAGACCTGTACGATTTCGTCAACTTAGTGAGTTTGATAGGGGCCGTATATTGGGACTTCGGGAAGCTGGACTTTCTTTTCGGACAATTGCAGTTAGAGAGCAAAGAAGTGTAGACACTGTGGTTAGGTGTTGTCAGGCATGGCTTCTTAAAGGCCGTACGCAAACAGCAAGGGGCACTGGACGCCGCCGTAGAACAACAGACCGTGAAGATCGCCGCCTAAGATTATTGGCCTTAAGGGACCGTTTCTCCACTACCAGGTCCATTGCAAAAGAATGGTTTGCAGAACACAGAAGACCTATTGCCATGCGAAGTGTTTACCGACGAATGAGAAGTTTTGGCTTGTTTTCATACCGACCACACTGGGTCCTCCCTTTAACTCGAGAACACCGACGTAATCGCCTTGAGTGGTGCAGACAACGGTCACTCTGGGATCAGGAATGGAACTGTATTGTCTTTAGTGACGAGTCTCGATTTTGTTTAGGCATGCACGATGGTCGTGCTAAGGTTAGAAGGCGACTTGGTGAAAGGAGGAATCCACAGTTTTTTGTTGGAAGACATATTCATCACACTGTTGGAGTTATGGTTTGGGGTGCTATAGCTTATGGTTCCAGGTCACCTTTAATCTTCATCAGAGGTAACATGAACGCGCAGCGTTATATCCACGAAGTTCTAAAACCCCATCTTTTACCCTATCTTGACACCCTGGCAGATCCAACTTTCCAACAAGATAATGCCCGACCACAAGAGTCACAATAGACTTCTTTCAACATAATGATGTCACATTGTTACCATGGCCACCAAGATCTCCCGACTTATCCCCAACTGAGCACGTGTGGGATATGATGGGTAGGAGATTGCTCAATTTGCAACGTCCTCCTCAGACTGTAGAAGCACTTCGAGAGGAGTTGGTGGTTGCCTGGAATGAGATACCACAGGAGGACATTGACCACCTGATCAGAAGCATGCCTAGGCGGGTTGGAGAATGCGTAGCACATCAGGGTGCATCCACACATTATTAAAAGTCAAAGGGCTTTAAAGCAGTGCAATTATTTTGAAGTTTTTGTCATTTACTTATTATGCTTCATTAAGTACTTATACAAAATTTTATTAGCCCTTAACTGGTGACGTGCCATTCGGGTAACGTTAGAGGTGACGCTGGGTCTCTGAGACCCACATATTATTTTTTTGTATTCTAGTATATATTTTAGATATTGTTTAATTTTATATATTTTCTAATTCTCTAATATATTTTGAGGCAAATAACAATGTTTTATAAATAATTTTGAAGGTTATCTGTATTTATCAAACATAAATTAGGAAAACTAAATAAAAGTCCACATATTTGTCGAACAGCATAGTTTATTAAATTTTTTAAACAATTTTTTTTAAGACACTATAATATATGGAATTGATGAAATAACATTGATAGAGTATGAAATAAAAAAAATGAACATTTTGGAAAAATATATACTAGAAACCTACAGCACCTGAACTTGAGGTAAATAAAAAAGTAAAATGTTACTCCTTGGCACATTCATCACATATTTTTCCACACATGGTAAGCAAACTGATTTTTTACATCTCACACATCTTTTGCATAACACGCCCTAACATTTATTTTATCCATCTCAGGTTCAAGTTCCTCTCCCGAATCAGAATCGTTGTTACCTTCTTTATTTTCTATTTCTGAAGTTGAATCGTGGTCATTGTAATAATCGGGATCTTGTATATCATCATCCTAATGACTTAAGTCACTTTTTACTTCTTCGTACCATCGCTGCGCATTAGTTTCGAAATCTTTATCAGTTGCATGTATTTTTTGTCTTGAAGATGCCATTATTCAAAAATCACGTAAATGGTGACGCTGGGTCTCACAGACCCTGCGAAATATTTGACAACGTACGAAAACTCTCTCGTAAAAGTCCGCGATGCACACACAACGACGTCTTACTTGCAAATAGTTATTAGACGGGTACCTAGGCGGACAAGCTAAAATCTAGTTAAATCCGGGAGTGGGAGAAATTTGAATTTCGCGCAGGGTCTGTCAGACCCATGGGGGTTAAAAGTTAAGGGTTAAAATAAAACAATTTAAACTGGGTGTTCGGATTTATATGTCACTTGGTATATCTGATCCTTATAGAACCGTATGTAGTTGATTAAACTAAATTTAAAATTACACGATAATGGATAGAGCTTCCGAAACGTAATTTGGCATTTAGTTTTTAAGAATTCACTATGATCATTTTGTCCAAAATAACACCAATATACTGAAACCTCACGCGGGGCGATCATAACTGGGCCACCAATACAGTATCGCTAGAACCGAGATAGACTCCTACTATTCGTCATTTGTTTGTCCGGGCGGTCCATAAGACCTTCGCCCATTTGTAACTGTCTAATGTAGGTTGCTCACAAACCAGAAGCCAAGGAAAAAGAGAGTGGGAGAGAAAGGAAAAAAGGAGCAGAGCAAAGAAAACAGAAGTGTATTAGTTCAAGAAGACCTATGCTTTTTGACTTAATACACGGATTAATTTTGAGGTGAAATAAAATTTACTATAAGTCCGCGCTCAATTTCTGACCACAGTATGAGCCGTGGCCTTGAATGTTTATGAACTAGCCCCACTGTGTAGTCCAACGATAACGTAGCCTACGCCTGAAGTTTGACATACTCCTCATACACCACGGAGTGTTGCAAATTGTTCGTAAAGTCCTGCTTTGCAGTAATTTGCATATGTGTCTTGGCCAGAAAACACCAGGCCGCACATGCATAAGTAATGGTTGGTCTAATAATCATTTTATAGAGTCGAACTTTGTTTATTAAACTCAATTTGGAGAATCTACGTAACAAAGGATATAGTTGCAGAAACGTAATTTGGAATTCTGTTTTCGATTATGCTGTACGTTTCCGCCAGGTCGTGTCTTTATCGTGGGCGACCCCGAGGTACTTGCCAGAATTTTCCTATGGAATAAGCTTTCTGTCTACTGAAACCTCGACTGGGAGGCTGCGACGTTTTTGGGCACCATAAATAGCCCGCGTTTTCGAACGGTTAATTTTAATCAGCCACCGTTCCACCCACTCAAGTACTTTCTCCGCCGCACTCTGCAACCCTTCGTGAACCGGATGACCAGTACACGACTGGGCGACAAGCGCAGTGTCGTCAGCGTAGAGCTAGACTTCACAGTAGCTAGGATACTGGAGGATACTCTTGAGCAAATATCGACCCCACCTTCCTTAGAATCAAGATGACATCATTAGTCTTCCACCCCGCAAGGAACTACTGGGTTCTGAGTGTCGCGTTGATTATTGTCACCAAATATACCAGAGCTTTTGGCGAGAGCAGCATAAATGCCTCACTTGTGATGTGATCCTCCTCCTTTAATATGACCTAGGAGCTCTGCTGGTTTACAATGCGGAACCTCGGAAGGTTCCGCTAATGTGTTATGTGAAGCCTCAAACGATTCGTCCAAAGAAGTATCACCTGAAGAGGATTTAGTCCTTTCGCTAACGCCGTTGGCTCTGAAATATCTCCCGACGGATCTTACTATGTATTGTTCCTCGTCGACGTTACTATCAAGATCATAGTTAGGAGAGAACTGCTTTTCCATGACGTCAGCGAAAAAATTTCGACCTTAAACTCCATTCTGAAGACTATGCTTGCAGGACAGTGGATGTGCGGGAGTTTCTCTCGCTTTCAAGTTATGGAAAAATGTGACTTGGACAGTTTTTGAAGCGGCAGATTCATTTGTTCTATAATCTTTTCTCTTTGTTACAGGTGTCATGGATTCGACACCGCGACCTCCACCTGCTGACAGTAGGCAGGTTTACCTACACGTCCGACCAGAGATTTGTCAGCATTCATAACCCGATGACGGAAGACTGGACGCTGCAGATTCGGTACCCGCAGCGTCGAGATAGCGGCGTATACGAATGCCAAGTCGGCATTACGCCACCTATCGGCAATACCATGACATTATCGGTTGTTGGTAAGTACCTTATTAGCGATAACCAATTACGTAGGGAAGCTGGAAAGGTAGTCGAAAGTTAGTTCTTCTCAATGTTTCTATAGTGACCATTGATCTGTTACCAGACGCTGTGTATTCTAAAGGTACATTTTCTATATGTGTTGTAACAGTTTTTATCTCTTTTTCTTATGATGCATCAAAATACTATAGATCATTAAAGTCATGATGGTGTGTCCGACTTCTATAATCATGGTGTTTTTAACGTCGTGAATGGTCAGCATAACGTAAAATATATTTAGGGTGGATTTCACAATTTAACAAACCATTATTCTGCACCAATAGGGTACGAGTACCAAACAGTCCGTTAAATATACCCAATCAGCCTCATGATCTCTCCGTCAAATTTTTGGCAGCAAATAGCATCAAAGTATTCAAAACAAAACACTGTAAAGTATGAAGTAACAGCTTGCTATTGAAACCTTTTCAGTCTATTAAATATTATGAAATTATGTAAAACTGAGCCAAAATTTTTAAAAATGCTTGATGTCTGAGTAAAATCTATTTTTTCAGATTAGCTGAAGGTTTTCCATGTTTACTGCAACTTTTGTAATCCACATGTGATTATATCACCTACTGTGTGCTTATAGTTTATCCTATATTTTTGCAAACTTGCACTTCCAAACCCTTACAAGAAAAAGCCTTTTCACTCAAATTTTTGTTAGGTGTTGCATTTCAACACATTCATACACTTATTTCCAGTTCCTCAACGATATTTTAACCCCACTGGTCCGAAACTGTTCAACAGTTTCAACATTCATACATACAATTGCAGTTGCGGTTTTTTGTTTTAATTTCAGTGTATAATCAGTCGCACCATCGGCGATGGTACATTCAACATAACCACGTTTTTAGGGGTTCGTGCAGATTTAACGTGTACAGTGTACACCACGTCATCATTAGGCGCTCGTCTGGCGATGTCCGATTGCGTTCAGGTGCCTTCTGCAGGTACCTTTTCACCACGGTCAGGGGTTGATACCAGCGCAGCTCTCGTTTTTTTTGCTCTAGGCATGGCCATCCTCAATTAATCGCACAAAAAACAAGTCCAAGGCAGAAAAACACACTCGAAGACGAACACCAAAACAAATCTCTACCGCAAATTCGTCAACAACTGAAACAAAAACAACAGATGATTCACCGCCTGGCTTTGACCGTAAATCGTCGTGGACGAGACACCACAGAATTTTTATAATTACGTCAATACGAGCATAGAACAGTATAGAAAGGGCTATCCAAGGGTAAGACGAGTTCCGAAACCACCCAAATCATGTCAAAAAATGGCTGTGACGTCACCAAAACGTTTGACCACCACTGGAAGTCACTAGCTAGTTACCATCTGGCGGCGTAACATGTGGAGGACACTGGTGTAGAAACAGCTGATCCTTAAATTCGGTTACGTTAAGTCGTGCGTGAGCCCGACATTATTTTTCAGTAATTACTAATAATTTTAGGTCTATGTCTACGGTAATTGCATTATGCACCTCGGAGATGTAGGGATTAACATATTTTACACATATCGGTGTTTTAGGATCGGGACGACATACTGTTTTGATTGCTTTGGAGATATTCATTAACCCATAAATTTATAACAAATGATTACTATTATGATGTAAAGAGAGATGAGGAATTGGTTGGAATAGATTTTATATTCTATTTTTTTGCAAATCCGCACAATTCGACAGGTATGTGTAGCTATAATGATCGCATATACACACAGTATATTGAACTTAACATATTTCGAGATTGCCATGAATTAACAAATGACCAAACCTTCTGCCAAATTTAACAGCTAGAAAATCGACCTATTATTTCTCCCATTCCCATTCGCTGAGGGGATAACGGATGGTCAAATGTACACCTATAACATAAATCAAAATACATGAAAGTTGTCCTGTTTCCTCTGTACAAAAGCATCATGTTTGAATCAAAAAGTGGTCTTGTTTATAATACAGTCGAATTTTCACGATTTTATTCAACATTTTAATAGAAATCACTGATATTCTGAGACCTTTGACAGCTTCCGTCAAATTGCATTTCGATAAGGTATTTTCCTATTGGTCCATAATAATAATGTTGGTGAAATCGGCCCCTAAAACTTCAATCGCAGATTTGACAACGTTTCGAGGATGAATGAAGCATGTTAGGCTTACTTTTAAAAGTTTTTGTGTGGCGAGACTCAAAAAATATTGAAAGGAATGTCATTAGGCCCTTAAAAACAGGCAAGAAGCCTTTATGAGTCTTTTTGAGGGAATTTAGCCTGATATTTCCAATCTGTACAAACGCTTCTATACAATACAGCTTTTATGGAGATTTTAGGCCTGTTGGTGACTTTTAAAGATTAGTGAAAAAAATCGCGTCAAGTAGGTTGTCACACTAAAAGGATATGTTCAGCACAAACTAGACAACTAGAAAAGTCAGTCAAATAGTGGATGTGCGTCCAGAGTATAGAAAACACTATGCTGTTGCTTGGCAGAAATTCGTGTGGTCCCATATCAGAACAGTGAACACAGAGAGATCTATGATGCGTGAAATATACAGGGTGTTCCATAATTATTGCGACAAAATGATAGGGGTTGTAGAGGGCATAAAAATATGCAATTTTGCCTTATAAACCCCTGTTCGTAAATATGCCGTTTGAGCACTACAGTTAATTTTACCTTAAGAGCTCATAGGAGAAACAAAAAATTCACCAGCTGCAAAATGTTCGTCTAGCACATTTCATGGTCTCGCCGGTTTGTAAAAAAAGCCTGCTGTGTTTACATTTTTGTTATCGTACACCCGTACCACCTTTTAAAAGTCCAAGCCATGGGTCCAGCAGACTATCTGCCGCGTCGACGTTTTTGTCGTTGGTGGCTGCAGCAGGAGTTGAGGCAACCAAACTTACGCTACGTTTTGTTCACTGACGAGTCCTGTTTTACAAAGGACGGTTATTTTAATAGCCGTAACAGTCACATTTGGGATGAAGAAAACCCTCATGCCATAGCCATCCATAGAGACCAACATCAGTTTTCAATTAACATCTGGTGCGGCATTGTGGACGAGCATATCATCGGGCCATATCTGCTTCCACCACGTTTGGATGGGCATGCTTATGGTCGATACTTACAGCATGTGCTACCGGAACTATTAGAAAATGTGCCACTGAATATAAGAGCCAACATGTGGTTTCAACACCATGGCGGTCCAGCCCACTTTTCTTTACAAGTGCGGCAGTATTTGGACGACAAATTTCCAAATAGGTGGATAGGGCGAGGTGGCCCTGTGCCTTGGCCTGCGCGGTCACTTGACCTGACCCCACTGGATTATTTTATCTGGAGCTATCTGAAAGCTTTAGTGTACGAAACTCCTGTTCCCAACCAACAAGAGCTACTGGGAAGAGTAATGGCCGCGTCCGCACATGTTCAGGACATACCGGGGGTATGCCACAGAGTTCGCCGATCATTGAACAATCGTGCACAGCTGTGTATTGAGCAAGGTGGAGGACACTTTGAGCAATTACTGTAGGTAAGCTGTTTCAAGAAACTGATCTTTTTTTTTTGCTGCAGCCCAAACGGCATATTTCCGAACAGGGGTTTATAAGGAAAAATTGTTCATTTTGATGCCCTCTACAACCCCTATCATTTTGTCGCAATAATTATGGAACACCCTGTATATAATCGATGCATAGAATTACCAATGTTGGGATCGTATAGTACCAGCATAAAAGATTTAGATAGTTCTCACCCCATTACAACGATTAGCCCCAAGTTTTTTACCTCTAAAGCATCTTTAAGAAATAATCGGGATCCTGTGAAACGTCAAGCTATGTTTGAGCAATTTTTATTTTTTTCGTTTTTGTCCATTTTCTCTGCCGATACCAGACTGATTTTTAAAAACTACACTGCGTTTGTATCCTTGGCATTGTGTAAATACTTCATCAAAATCCGTGCGACACTTCTCAAGTTATAGGCGGTTATAGGATTAGCAGACAGACCGACTGACAGACAGACCGACAGATAGACCTGCGAAAATGAATGACATGGATTTTTTCTGATGTACACGTCCTATAACATCAATAAAACAGAACATCTCTTTTTCGAAGATGCTCGCGATTACAATACTTGTCCGCCAGTAGGCGTTGTAAGTAAAAGCGTTCTTTAATTGACTAAGCGTGCTTCTCTGGGGAAAGATATTGAAGGAAAGTGAAATTATACATGTAGAGTGTACTAGGAACAAAGACAAAGAATTATTTTAATGCGATACGAAATGACTATGAAGGCTCTAAAAATGGGTTTGAAATACACATATGTGTGTCCAACATCTACAAGTTTGGAAAGATCATATATAATTTGTCGCACATATCGATATTCAGTCGCAAATCGACACAACTAAAATAAAAATGATAGTGTTTCTGTGTCCGTAGTTGGAAATTAATGTTTTGGATCTAGATCGTCTCGAATCACAAACCTGAGACATGCGAGTTACGTAATGTTGTTGCAAGCTTTAGGACAAAAAAAATACCTACAGATCAGTCAGTTTCATAATATTTTCGGATTCTTCTTTCACGAAAGCTATAGCTGCCTCCGCCATGACCAAGTAACAGATCACCTGGAAATTGTCAAATAACTTAAACAGTATGTTTTACCGTATTATAAGCAGTTCTTTAGGATACAACTTCTGTGTAACTGTGCTATAATATTTTAGTGCAAAGTGTAAGTCATATAGACACTTCAAACTGTGCAATAAAAATGGAGAGTGTCTGTTAATCCCGTTTAGCAGAGATTAAATGTATATGGTTATGTGAAACGTTTTAAGTGTACATCAGCTTATATAATCACCTAATGGGCAAAGATATGAGCCCTAAAGGCTCTACGCTATCTACAAATTGCCACGCCACGGTGCGCTGGCTGTGGTTTTTCATCGTCTGCCGCACTGTACACGCTCCAGCGCGCTCTATCGATTGCCTGAAAGCGGGACTAAGGCGT